GGGTCCTCAGGGTGCCTTTGAAGCAACTCGCGGGCGTTTTGCAAGCACTTTAGAGCCCCTACGATTGCAGGCCCTACGGCCTCCAGCCCTCAAAATCGGCAGACCCTCAAATGACAGAATTCTGACCTAGGTCTTGAAACAAGGCCTGTAGCTATCACAGAGTGGGAGCTGACAACACCCTCCCCAGAGAGAGATTCGAGGACGCTTGGTATCATCTTCCGACGGACATGTTTTTTGGTCGCTGCTTAGTGGTTTGATCCCTCGAGACGCATTGCTCAAGCACGCACGTGTGCAGAAAGAGCACAAGATTTATTCGATGCTTGGTTGTGAATAATTATGGTAGCAAAGAGGTCTTGGGTGCGAATGATGGAGCAAGAATACTTCCGACGACCTCATCCTTTCAAGCCTGGAACACGAATGCTCTTTGAGCCCACTCATGGTTAAAGTCGCGGGATGCTACGTTGAGTTTTAAATGGAGGAACATGACATGAACTTAAGGACAGCAGATTCATGAAGCCTTCGGAAAAATGTAATGCCAAATAGCATCATGGGTGTGTGTCGTCGCAGCGATGCCACATTGACCGCCCCTCAGACCACTTTGCAGATTGTGCATTGGCCATCCGTATGCTGCTCCAAGGCGCAGTGCCAGATGCTGGTGCTGCCGAAGTCGGGTTAATAGCTTCATGCATGAGCGAGTGTTGTTGATAACATGGAAAACACTTCATTTCCGCCTTGAGGCAGTTCTACTGGCTGAGATTGGACCGGAGGCAGTGCAGGTGCTACTTCGCGAGGCCACGTGCTCACTTGCGTTTCGTTGGTTTGCAGCAGGTGCTTCGACCGTACTACTCAGCCCTCGTGGGTGTTGCCGACTTGCGTACAGCTGGAGGCCTTTGCATCGCCGCATCACCGATCTGCCGCAGCTCGGAATAAAGAACATATTTCGAGGCCAGCAGTTGAGATCGTTGATGGCATCTCAGTGATCAATGTAGAAACATTCGCTTGTGGATGCGACGACAGTCGGACTCCGAGGCTCCGCCACATTGGCGAGTTAACTTGTAAAGTTGCTGCATTGGAGGCTGGGTGTGGTCGCGGAGAATGCATGAAATTAGAATATCTGGGAGCAGGGCCTGACTCCAATTCAGGATTCATGTCAGCATTGGAAAGCGGTATGCGATCGGTTCCAGAAGCAGCTGGTGCAGGCCAGGACCGACCTTAAGGGCAACATGTCAACATGGTGTTATAGTCTATTCATCACCACTCCGGCCAGCAGCTGAAACAAGGCATTTTCACCAACGATGAGAACGACATGCTTTCTATTGTTCTTCATTCTGCAAGTTGAATTCCCAGCTCGTAAATATCATCATGCACAGTCCAGCCCATTCCAAGCATCACCCTGTACTTGGGAATAGAATTTCGGCCATCAAGGCCAGAGTCCTTGACGAAAGAGGCACCCAAGCAATTCTGTCGCAGGCATGCGAACGGACATCAAGACCTTCCGAGAGCTAGCCAGACTACGGGCGGCATAAGCGGAACGCACCGCGAGTTGCAGGAATGCGTGCAAGGCATGCGGAAGCGTTTTCCCTGGAAAACGCACTCAAAGACGGCAGGGGCGCAGAAGGCTCTCGAAGGGCCACTTAAAAAGGTACAGTTGCTTCCACGAACATAAACGAGGAAGGGTTTGCGTTATGTTTTTTTAAACCGTGTTTCGCATGATCGCTGATCCTTCAGACACCTTGTAATGACACAAAGGTGCTGCAACGACACACAGGCACATGGTAAGACAACAGGTCTTGCTTCTGAGCGGAGGAGAGACTCCTTCAAAGCGACTTGGGCTGACAGATGTGGCAGTCATGAGGATTGTAACCCTGCCAGGTCAACTTCGCGCATGCGGCCGCGAGGAGGGCTTCAGCGTGTGTTGCAAGTTGCCTTCACTGGAGACCTGCAGGCAAGCAGCTGATGGGCAGCCCGACTCCTGGAGGTGTTCTAATGGGCATATAATAGTGCATGCAATGATGTGCAGGCGAGTGCGCTCAGATGCTTTGCAGGTGCGGACCGTGTTGTGTCTTATCGGTGGCTGACGGTGAAATCTACAGGTAAGCCCATCACCTGGGCTTACACTTCTTTTGAGCTTCGGCCGGCAGGCACGGCTCGCCGGCATGACGAAGGAGCATCAGGTGACCTGCATCCTTTGAGCGAAGGGCATTCATAAGGAGGCTTCGCTGGGCTGAGTCGCAAGCCAAACCATGAAGACAGCACGCCTCTGCTAGAATCGACAACGCCAAGAACATGCACTTCAGAATGCTCAGCTTCCTCTTAACAAACATCTGCTTCCGGAAGAAGCTCTTGAACAGCTGATTTAATGTGGGGGTCGCGCTCGGCAAGAGGCCACCTGCTGACACAAGAAAGGCCAATCGAAGTTCATGTTGAATGAATGGTCATGGAGCTTCTTGGAAAGTTTGGTGTACGATGGACCGAACCGTGCTGTTTGTGCCGGTGACATCGGCATAGTTCTCATCGGCATAGTTCTCATAGAGTATGAAGATGCTTGGCTGCAACAGGAGGCTGTCCTTGCGTCGAGGCGCGACACCAGCTTGTCGCAGGCGAAGCTGCGTGTAAGCGCTCCTGACACAGAACTGCATTGCCTGCAGAGTGAGTGATGAAGAGAGAAGAGAGAGAGATAGTGCAAAAATACAGTCACCAACTCAGTCAGTGAGAGCAACCTACAGCGAGATCAATCACTTTCCAGTCACACACACACACTCGAGCAATCCTTTGTGCAACCAAGCAGTCGTCCAGTCTTGAGCCA